TGGGTATGTGCTACTTCCTTACTTGACAATCTGCTGCACTCATTTGAGTAACATCAGGGAGATTTTTCATATGAACTAGTTTTTCCTTTTGATGATTACATTATGTGAAGACGTATGAATGCTAGTTTCTCTTTGTTATACATGTGTTTAAAGACATATCTGTGAAACATCTAGTTAGATTTCCTGTAGGAATTAGAGATTTACATATTTAAGCAGATCTATTTTTGCACTTTAAATTTTGATAATGTAACATAAAATACATAAATTCATCTTTTAACCATTCTCAAATGTTTAATAGCCACTACTATCAAAAAATCCTTCTTTGTGGTAATCAGATTACCTGGAGTTTCTTCTTGTCCTGATCTAAAAACAAAAAACAACTTTTAGTCCAATATTTTAATGAAGAAAGTTAAGGGGACTTTAAATAGAAATGGACTCAGAAAAGAATCCATGAGCCTTAAAGAATGATCATTGTTTACCACAGAGAAGTTGATTTAAGAACTTACTCATAATATTTAAATATATTTGAAGAATTATTAGACTGAATGTATAGACAAGCTTTTTCCCATTCTTGTGAAGATAATGGAAGAGAAATTGCACTCCTGAAGCTTACAAAGTTAAAAATAAATATAAACTGAAAACAGACAATTGATGAAAAACGATACAATGTAATGTTTTTAGTCAAAATGATGTTACAAATCTATTTGTTGACATGGATATGTTTTGATGTTAAGTATTTATCAAGTGATTATTAAAAAATAATTTCTTCTCTGAATAATTTCCTTTTGTTAATCTCTTAATATAATTTTAGGTGGGATAACAAGCTTTGAAAACATTAATGATGTGCTTTTTATATAGCATTGAAGAAAATTTCTTAAATGCCACTTCATACTGTCAAATTATCTAGAGAGGAAATAATATTAGATGCCTGGATAATTTAGGTATTGAAAGGAACATGCTCATTTTATTAATTTGTTATAATTTCTCTGTTTATGAAGGCATTATAACTTCAGTTCAAAACACTACACAAAACATAAATTCCCCTGAAATGTTTTTTCATCCATTTTCTGCCTTTTTGAACACAAATGGTGCTGAAAAGTGGAAGTAGATCTGTCACTGTCTTATCAGTCTGTCCATTCTTCACTCACTTGGAACATCGAAGGCTGAGTTTACCTCTAAATTGGATATTCATTCTGAAGCTTTTCAGAGCTGCTGTCACAAGGAGTCTGGCAAAAGGGGAACATCACTTGTTGTATCATTTTATTTTTCTCCCTTGGCAAATCAACATAATTCATACAGAGCTCTGCCACCGCCCCTTTAAAGAAACCATGTCCTGAGAATGTAAAACTGTCAGTAAAAGATAGTGACTGTTAATTCTATCACTATTACTATATTTCTTCAGGTTGCTGAAGCAAATTACTATGAGTGATGTTGTTATTGTAATCCACACATTAAGGAGAGAAAAGAGATGTTTAAATTAATGATACCTATCAACACCCCTTGACTCCCCCCGTTCTATCGCCCCATATCTTCCATCCCTGGTTGGAAATTTTTTACTTACCATAGTAAGCTAAGGTTATTGATGGGGAGGCATCAGATACCTGAGGTGTGTTAGGGATGGGGTGGGAGGTTGTTGAGGGCTGGGAATAATGTTGAAAACTCCTGTAATGAAAAAAAGTGCTTCCTAGGGCACCTTAAAACATGGGGGCTGGATATTAATAAAGGCTACTTGTATTGAGAGAGGCCACTGTGCTTGGTTCTTTGCTAAGAACCATATTATTTATTCCTTACAACCACCACACGAAACAAGTAGAACATCACCCCCACTTTCTAGGTGAGAAGATTAGAGATTAGAGGGGTTGGATCCCTGTTCTCAGTCACTGCTACGAAGCCGTAGCGCCTCGTTAAGTCCTTGTATTTAACTTGCACCCAGGACCTCAACTCTCAGAAGTGTGTTATGCTCACCAGGCTTTAGTGCATTTCTTGAACTCCTAAACATGTTTTTTTCTTCTAATACAAAAGTCATTTGAACATTTTAGATCCTAAAACATCTAAATATCTTTTGTATCTGGCTTTAAAGTCTTTAATCCTGGAATCTTGCATGTCTTCATATTCTTATGACCACAAAAGCCACAGGGATATTTAAATTGAATTTTACATAGTTCACATGGCACTTTCTTGTGGTCACAATTTATAGTCATTCTACATTGTTGAGGCTATATTACAGTTTTAGTAAATATGATAAACTACTTTGTACTGGAATAAATGTCTGTTATTTTTTGCTGCCTGTGATATTGTAGAAACAACATGAAGTGCCCATAGGGTCAAATTACAGAATCTGCTTTGAACACGATACTCTTCTTCATTGCTCTTCATATCTCGTTGGAGTAAACCTATTGCCCTGTCTCAAGCTTAACTGCTTTCCAAAATCATACACGATGCCATCCCAACCGTGCCTTAAGTGTTCTCTTCTGTGCCCACTATGAAATTACAAGAGAAGCCTCCAAGACCTCTCTACCTTGTGTTTCTCATACATTTGCAGAAGATGAGAGGAAGATTCAGATAGCGAATAAGAAACAGGTGGCCCAAGAATTGATATTAAATTGCCCCTTGTGTTCACAAGAAATATGGAATATTATGCAAAGTTAATAAAGATTGTATTTTCCTCACTTAAACACATTAAATCGATTCTTCCCCTCTCTTTAATCACTTGGTCATGGACAGCTTCTTTATTTTTCATGCCATTCCATTCTACAGTGCAAGCTTATCACATGACACACCTAAAGAATCAACTTTTTTATGGAGAACAGGACAAAGAGAGTCTAAGTTGATCATGCATTTCATAGAATATTAATCTATAGTTAAATTACTGTTTTAAACCCAGATAAAATAATCCTATTGAAAGGTAACAAAATATGTAAATTTCATATATCAAAGAGAAAACCAAACATGCATATAGTAGTCATTAACAAAATGTGCACATCAGCAACGCTTCCCAATAAGTTATTCTTCCATACTCCTCAGGAGGTACAGGCAATTCAATGAGATTAAACTTCAAAGTTGTATTTAGAGAGTTAAAATTGTATTCAAGGTCGTGCTATCAATCAATGATGAAAAGGAAAAACATATTTATTAACTTCCAGCTCCCTTCTTTGTTCTTGAGTAGTTCTGCTTCCTTAAGAATACAGAGCTAAGAGACTGCAGGTAGAACATGAAGAATGTCACTATTAATATTATCATTAAAAATTTAGTGAATACTCGCTGTGTGCAAGTCACTTTGAGGGGTGAAAAGAAGAGTAAAACACAGAATTATAATTCAAAATGGCAAAAGTTGTTTTACAATTCTTTCTTTCTTTTTTTGTGGGTGGTGAGAAATCATCTTCCCCTACTGAGAATTATTGACATAGAAAAGGCAAAATTTCAAATATGAATGCTTTGCTTTGTAATCACGTAAATTCTCCTTGATATTCATTGTCTCATCCAAACTCGAAGGCTATTTTTAACAGAACATGGTCCCACCTTTCTCCTCCCATCCCATGCTACACCCGATCTGTAAGTTTCCAGAGAATAACTGCCAATTCAGAAGACAGTTGTGCCTTTGGGAACAGTTTCTGCTAGATTATCTCAGCTCTGCCACTTCAAGAGCTGTCTCGAACATTCTTTGAGCCTCAGATTCCCTGTCTATAAAAAGTACACAATAAAACCTAACTTACCCACTTGTTATGATTAAATGATACAGTACATTAGTCTTTTGCCAAGCATAAAGTGCCATATAAAAGTGTGGAATCATGCTATGCTGTAAGAAGCACAAGAATGAACAACTGCTCCAAAATAATTCTCTCTTTGGTTTGCAACGGCCCTAAAATATCTGTCATTTTATTCACCCCTTTGATTTAAAGCACTAGGTCTCAAGAGGGTCCTTGTTAAACGATAAATAATTAAATAATCTCTCAAGGTGCTTATTTGTGATGGGTCACAGTAGAAGATATTTATTATTAATAGTTGTAAAAAGAAACAATCAAAAGCAATAAAAAGAAATAAACTACTGACACATGCAGCAACATGAATGAACTTCCCAAATGTTATACTGAGTGAAAGAAGCCAGATAGATAAAAAAAAGTTCATATCGTATGATTCCATTTTTATGAAATTCTAGAATACAAATAACTGTGACAGCACAAGGGATCTTTCTGAGGTGATGAAAATGTTCTAGGTCTTCATAATGGTGTGGGCTACACTATTGCATGGATTTTTCAAAACTGATTTAAAGCAACAGAAGATCTGAGTATTCCACTCTGCGTAAATTATAGTTCAATTTTTAAAAAGACCATCTAAAAGTTATTGTCATTATTTTAAAATAGTTCTTATGTTCTATGGATGCATGCTTAAATATTTACAGATGAAAAGATACATGTAGTTCTTGGGATTTAGTGAAAAAGAATAGAGAGGTGGCAGTGATGAACAATGGGCAGTGGCTGGGCACATAGACGAAACATGATCATCTCTGAAAAGTTGTGGACGTTGGGTGACGTTCACACGAGACCTCTTTATCCTTTCCTTTTGCACATGTTTGAGCATTTTCCATGATAAAGAAGTTGAAGAGAGGGGTCATCTTGGTTCCTCTCCTTTTACAAGAGAAAACTGAAGAGGAGGGCGTAACTTGTTCTAGTTCTCAAAACCAGACGGCAAACCAGCCCCCAGGTTAACCTTCTTCTCTGATCACAAGAAAACAAAGTACAGTCTGAGAGGTTTGGAAAGGCTGCTTTTCAAAAGGACAGACAGTAGCGCAAGGAGTTGTTAAGCAATAAATATAGTTGCTTCCTGTCCCTTTGGGTTTCAAACAATTGTTTCACAGATTTAAATTGCATTTTACTCAAATTTCAGAACCCAAGTGAGAACAAGGATCAGAGACAGCATTTTTTTTCCTACAAAAAATTAACACAAAACAAAATGAAAGCATACAGCAAAGACTTCTTTTTCCCTTCCAGGGCTAAAATCGTCCTCCCAATCCAGGCAAAGAAAGCACAGGCATTCTGTCAGAGGGAGGAGCTTGGTACTCCATTCTGGTGTGATCCTGGAACAGCTGTTTTTCCTCCAGCTCCGAAAGAGGTGAAAATACGTTAAGCAATGCAAAAATTGTCTTGAAGCCTGCGCGCGCGTTTGCCTGTGTGTCTGTGTGGGATGGGGCTGGGTGTCAGCTCCGAGGGCAACGTGAACCAGAAGTCAGACAGGTGAGCGGTGTGTAGAATCTCCCTTTCAGAAGGGGTGGAAGAAGAAATTGGATATGATGGTTCGGGAGAATAAGCCACGCGGGATTTGTCTCCTCCATCCAGGCACTAGAATCTAGAAAGTAAATTCCATTTCGAGAACGAAAAGCTGTATACAACTGCTTGGTTTCGACGGCTGAGGAATGTCTATTCCTTGTTCCGCCGATAGGAAAAATCGGTGTCTGGCAGCCGCCGATTGGTGGAAAAGAAAATGGTGATAGTGGAGTGGGAAGAGGATTTGACCAGCCTCCTCCCGCCTCCTCGACCTGTAACTCTTCCTTACTAGTCTCCTCTCCACCCGCGGGACCCTTTCGGGATCACGCGAGGTTCAGAGCAAACGAAAATCTTTAAGGTATTTAAATAAAAGCAACCTTAAGGTTGTGTCCTACGACCACTAATCAAATTTCAGCGATCCGAGGGAAACGTACTCTTGGCGATGCCTCTGTGAGCACCCTTCCTGAGCTGTCTCCTTCGGCAGCTCCCCAAGAGATTGGCTCTATCTTTGGTGGTCCATCCCTCAGACTCGCGCTCCCCTAGGTTGGCTTCCCCGTGAGGAACCAGAGGGAAAGGCGGAGACAGGGAGGGAGGGGGGATGGGAAAGAGGGAGAGACATCAGCCTAAGCCTAACCGCTCCCAATCACCACAAAAGTCCCCGTGACCCTGAACTTGAGGCGAAGCGCAGAACACCCCACCCTCCCGCCTCCAAGGAGCAGGCGGGCGGCTGGAGTTGGAGGTACAGCCTTCCTCCCACCCCCATCCCCATCCTAGAAGAGGAGTGAAGTGCACGCGGCGGGGAAAGTGGCGAGTGCCGGGAGAGGGGCGGGGAGAGGCGCTGACAAATCAGCTGCGGGGGCGGTGAGCGGAGGAGCAGGAGGAGGAAGAAGAGGAGGAGGAGGACCGCGACGACGGGAAGGGGACCTGAGAGGGGGCGAGCGACCGAGCGCGGCGACGCGGGGTGAGGTGTGTGCTGGCCTTAGAGCAGACCTGGGGCCCAAGCCTTGCCCTTAGCATCCATCGCGCTCTCTCCCCGCCTTCCCCTCCTACCCTCTGTGTCTTTCTCTCGGATTCTCTTCTGCGGGGGCCGAGGAGTGGCAATTCGACTACAGTTCACGGGTTCGCCTCCCACGCCCCCAGCCTCTCCTTGCCGGGTTGTGCTGACAGCAGCCTCCCCTGGGGACCGTCCCTCTCCTGGTGCCGCCTCCGCCCTTCCTGTCCGCTCCTTAGTCTCCCTCTACCTATTTAAATAATAATCAGGAAATTGTTTAAAATTTTTTTAAAGGGGTGGGGGAGAAGTCGGAGTTCTGAGGAGCAGAGGGACTCAGGTAAGTACCTGTGGATCTAAACTGGCAGCTTTGGAAATCCTGGAGAAAACCTGGTTGGAGAGGAGTCATTGAGGACGCCTGGGGGGTGGGGGTGGGGGCGGGGGATTGGTGCTGCCTTGAGGTCCCGCTGTGTCAGGTCTCTCCGAGGTGGGTACTTATCACTTTGGTGAGCTTAAGGAAAGTAGGTTGACCTGACTCTTCCCTCTTCTCGTCCCCAAAGGCTGAGAGGTTGGCTTCTCCGGGATACGCTTTTCCTTTGGGAAATGCGAGGATGCTAGATGGAGCGTGAGCATCCAACTTTAATTTCTCTCTTGCTTTAAATACCCAGTCCGCCCTCTCGGTTCTCTCTGTAAAGTAAACAAGTTGTGTTTGGCAAATAATTAAATGGAAGCGCAGAGAGGGCAAGTCAACAGGTGGGAAGGGGTTAACAGGTGCCGGCGCGGGGTGGGTAGCAGGTTCGCGCGCGCTGAGAACGCCCCCTCGGGCGGCTGGCGCGCGTCTGGAGGGCCGGCGGGTGTGAACAGGCGCCTGCTCCGGGTAGATAGCTGCGGGCGGGGTTGACTGCCGGCGGGGGTGAACGGGCGCCTGCTCGGCTAGATAGCTGCGGGCAGGGGTGCAGAGTCGGGTGGATTAGAGCGAGGGCGGGCGGGCTCACAGTTGGCCTGAGGTTCTGCCACATCCAGAGTGAGTAGTTCCCTTCCCTGCTTTCTCCATGATCAACCTGTTAGCCCTTTTCTGGGATTCATTTTAATAGTGCCCCTGGTCCCATGCCTCTAGCTCCCTTTCTTTTCCTGTGACCTGTCTTTTAAACGTACTTCTAGCTTATACTGTCACAGTTTGGACCCTGGCAAGAAGTTGAAAGAGGTCCATCTTTTCATGCAGCTCGCTTAGGAAATGCAAGCACAGCTCCAACGATTCATCCTGACCCATGTTTAGGCGGCTAGACTTTTGCTAGCCAAGATGGATGGGAGGGTACTAAATTTTTAATGCAAAAGCTATAAAAAGGCTTCTTTGTCCAACGGCTGAGATAAGGGTCCCCTTGAAAGAGTCTCACACTTTTAGGAGTTCGACTGATCTTTCAGCGGTTTTACCTCGCGTGATTCTGATCTTGTTTTGTTTTACTCAAGAATTCTCATTCCAAGTGTATTTTGTATTCTCCAGTGTGGTGTGGTGTTAAGGAATTCATTAGCCATGGATGTGTTCATGAAGGGACTTTCAAAGGCCAAGGAGGGAGTTGTGGCTGCTGCTGAAAAAACCAAACAGGGTGTGGCAGAAGCAGCAGGAAAGACCAAAGAGGGCGTTCTCTATGTAGGTAGGTAAGCCTCCAATGTCTTTTGGATGTTTATTTATGGCTGATGGGTTAGGATGATTGATACTCTAAATGCTGGTATTTCTCGCTTAATTCATTTTTGCGTCGTCACGTGTCAAAAAGATGTACTGAGTCAGAGGTATGTGTGGGTAGGTGAATGTGTATACTTGAGCTAATAGTAAAAAGTGGGGCTAAGTTTTTGTTTTACCGAATTATTTAATTTTGCGATAATACTAAGGACTTTTTCGGGTTTTTTTTAATGAATGTTTCTGTACTAAGTGGCTATATTTCAGATGACAGTTTTTTAAACTCAGTCTTTAAAAATAATCAAGAACATTCTTAAGAATCAAAATCATACATGAGCCTTTGATTTCTTTATCATCATGAATAATATTTGATAATTTTAGTGTATTCTTATTTTAAAATGAGACTTTGGTATGGCCCTGGGATATGTAAAAAGAGACTTGCTGTGACCCTAAAAAGGAAAGGACAGAAAAGTCTTTGGTGGAGTTACTTCTTGTGACCACTTGGTAAACTGGGAACTAAGAGCTTAAGGAAGTGCTTGAGACCTGCTACTAAGATCTCGGAGAGATTGATATAGTTCCTTTATCAAACAGCACACACGTAGCCAATAATGAGATTGATGCTTATCACTCCTACTTGTTCCTATTCCCACCTGGAAGTTTTCATGCAGACCCTGACTCTCTTTCTTTATCTTGAACTGTGTTAGGTTGGGTGTTATTTTACAAACCACTTGAAATTCTTTAGGGAAGAAATAGACAAACAGATATACACACACTCATCCACAGGGATACGTGCACACACTCGGACACACTTGCACACACTCACCACTGGCTATTCTGCCTCTTGTCTTGCTTCTCTACTCCTCTGAGCTCTTCCTTGTTCTCTGGTGGCCGCTGTAGCAGCAGTAGAGGCAGGATGAGCAGGAAGGTGGAGGATGAGCGTATTGGGTGGCCGAGGGTGCTGTGCCAACGTCTGGGAGGTGAAAGGAAGCCACCCTGTCTCTCCAACATTGATGGGCAGGAGAAAAGTTATACTTGGAATGATTTTTATGAATGCTTCTCATATTATTTTTTCTCACTGTTCATAGACTCTTTTTATGTTGACTTTATCTTACCACAAATCTTCAGCGAAATTACTCTTTCTCTATCTTAAAACATTTTTTCAGGAAATCATTAAAGTGTTTTACAAGAGGAAAAAATTGATGAGTTAATAAGTGTTTCTGTGAAGTGTGAATTATATCTTTTTAGATGGAATTTGGACTACTGAATGAGTGACATGCAGATAACATGTATCTTTATATTTGTCCTGTTTTCCAAGTTGTGCAAATACATGCTTGCAACTATTCTTTGATTTCAGTTACTTTATAACTTAGTAACTTTTAGTAAGATTTTTTAGGATGCTAATACTCATTTCATTAGTTTGTACTGAGTCCAAAAATTATTGAATATCAATTTAATACATTACTCTTTTCCAGGTAATAAACATGTTTTATCTCTGGAAAACTGTTTGTTTTCGTTGTCAGCTATGAGTTTGGGCAAATAAAATGATTTTATTTTTCAGAGGTTATTTCTGTTATTTTCTCTGAGGTTATTATATAAAATTGTAATTTCCTTACATGTCACATTTTAAAAAAATCGTCTTTAATACCTATCATGATATTAATCATATAGTTCATTCTATAAGTTGTTTATTGGCTAGTTTCTGACGTCTAATTAAAAGTTGAACTCAGACACAGGATTTAGGATAAGTGACCATGAGAAGACGTAATATTATAGTTCAGGTGTTGGTAAACTTTTTCCATAAAGGGCCAGGTAGTAAATATTTTAGGCCATAATATCTTTGTCTCAACTGCTCAAGTCTGCTGTTTGGTTGTGAAACAACCATAGATGATAATAGCGTAACTGTGCTTCAATAAAACTTTACTTACCAAGACAGGTGGTGAGTTGACTTGGCCCATAGGCTGTAGTTTGCTGACTCCTGGTAAATTAGAAAGAACATAGACTTAATGTCAGACAAACTTAAATTCTAGCCTAGGCTGCACCACTTGTTACTGGGGAAATTGCTTAACATCTCTAAACATCACTTCCCTCATTTGTAAAAATATGTTTTAGATAAATGCAACTACCTTGCAGAGTTTTTGTGAGAATGTCATAATAAAACAGAACATATGAGTAATAAAACACACTTTAAAATTATTTTAAACACTTTATTTTTAGAGCAGTTTTAGGATGACAGCAAAATCGAGAGGAGAGTCCAGAGGTTTTCCATATATTCCCTGCGCACACACATGCATAGATAGCCTCCCACATTATCAACCTCCCCCACCAGAGTGGTACGTTCATTACAATTGGCACATTGGCACATCATAATCACCCAAAGTCCATAGTTCACCTTAGGGTTCACTCTTGGCGTTGTACATTCTGTAGGTTTGGACAAATGTATAATGACAGGTATCCATCATTATAGCATCATACAGAATGTTTTCAGGGTCCTAAAAATCCTCTGTGTTCTGTCTGTTCATCTCCCTCCCCCAGCCCTTGGCAACCAATGATCTTTTTACTGTCTCCGTACTTTTGCCTTTTCCAGAATGTTATATAGTTGGAATCATATAGTATGTAGCCTGATCAGATTGGGTTCTTCCACTTAGTAATATGCATTTAAGGTTCTTCTATGTCTTCTCATGGCTTGACAGCTCATTTCTTTTTAGCATTGAATAATGTTCTATTGTCTGGATGTACCACAGTTTATACATTCACCTGCCGAAGGACATCGTAGTTGGTTCCGAGTTTTTCAATTATGAATAAAGCCACTATAAACATCCATGTGCAAGTTTTTGTGTAGACATAAGTTTTCAACTCTTTCTGGTAAATACTAAGGAGCACAATTGCTGGATCGTATGGTAAGAATATGTTTAGATTTGTAGGCAACAGCCAAACCGTCTTCCAAAGTGGCTGTACCATTTTGCTTTCCCACCAGCAGTGAATGAGAGGTCTTGTTGCTCCGCATCCTCACTGGCATTTGATGTTGTCAGTGTTCCAGATTTGGGCCATTCTAATAGGGTGTGTCGTGATATCTCATTGCTGTTTTAATTTACATTTTCCTGATGAAATGTGATGTGGAGCATCTTTTCGTATGATTATTTGCTGTCTCTATATCTTCTTTGGTGAGGTGTCTGTTAAGGTCTTTTGCCCATTTTTTAATTGGATTATTTGTTTTCTTGTTGTTGAGTTTTAAAAGTTTTTTGTGTATTTTGGATAACAGTCCCTTTTCAGATGTATCTTTTGTAAACATCTTCTCTGAGTCTGTAGCTTCTTTTCTCATTCTCTTGATACTGTCTTTCACAGAGCAGAAGTTTTACATTTTAATGAAGTCCAGCTTATCGATTCTGTCTTTCATGAATCATGCTTTGGTGTTGTATCTAAAAACTCATTGCCGTACTCAAAGTCATGTAGGTTTTTTTCTTATGTTATCTTCTGGGAGTTTTACAGTTTTGCATTTTACATTTAGAGCTATGATCCCTTTTGAGTTAACTTTTTTGTGAAGAGTGTAAGGTCTGTGTCTAGATTCTTCTTCTTCTTCTTTTTTTTTTTTTTTTTGCATGTGGATGTCCAGTTGTTCCAGCACTATTTGTTGAAGAGACTATCTTTGCTCCATTGTATTACCTTTGCTCTTTTGTCAAAGATCAGTAGACTATATTTATGTGGTTCTAATTCTTGGCTCTCTACTCTGTTCAACTGATCTATTTATCTATTCTTTCATCAATACCATACTGTCTTGATTATTGTAGATTTATAGTAAGTCTTGAAGTCAGACAGTGTCAGTACTTCAATTTCGTTCTTTGCCTTCAATATTGTATTGGCTATTCTGGGCTTTTTGCCTCTCAACATAAACTGTAGAATCTCTCAGTATCTGCAAAATAACTTGCTTGGATTTTGATTGAGATTGCATTGAAATATAGATCAAGTTGAGAAGAACTGACATCTTAACAATACTGAGTCTTCCTATCCATGATCACTGAATGTCACTTTATTTAGTTCTTTGATTTTGTTCATCAGAACTTTGTAGTTTTCCTCATACAGATCTTATATATATTCTGTTAAATTTATACCTAAGTATTTCATTTTTTTTTGTTGCTACTGTAAATGGTATTCTGTTTTAATTTCAAATTCCACTTGTTCATTGCTGGTATATAGGAAAGTGACGGAGTTTTATTAACCATGTATACTGCAGCCTTGCTACAATTGTTTATTAGGTCCAGGAGGTTTTTTGGTTGATTCTTTCGAATTTTCCATATAGATGATCATGTCATCTGTGAAGGAAGACAGTTTTATTTCTTCTTTTCCAATCTGTATACTTTTAATTTTCTTTTCTTATTTTATTGCATTAGCTAGGACTTTCAGTATGATGTTAAAAAGGAGTGGTAAGAGAGAACGTTCTTGTCTTGTTCCCGGTCTTAGTAGGAAAGCTTCTAGTTGCTTGCCATGAAATATGGTGTTAGCTGTAGGTTTTTTGTAGATATTCTTTATCAAGTTCAGGACGTTCCCCTCTAGTTCTGGTTTACTGGGAGTTTCTATTATGAATAAGTGTTGGATATGATTGGTTACTTTACTTTTCGAATGTTTAGCCAGCCTTGCATACCTGAGATTAATCCCACTAGGTCATAATGAATAGTTCTTTTACACATTGTTGGATTTGATTTGCTCATTTTTTGTTGAGAATTTTTATGAAGCACATTTTTATATATAGGAGCCATGGTTATTATCAAATAAACTCTCCAACAGAATAAGTACTTTTCGAACATATTTTCTTTTCGTCTTTCACTCTTCATTGCAAAAACTATTATCAGTGACTAGTTTGAAAAATTGGGAGTGACTAAAGAAAATTTTCAAATTTTACCATGGCTGAGAAAGTTGGACACCCTGTTTTCATAAACTTCATAAGAAAAGTGATTGCATTCCTTTATTATATACTTTTGGCAACTATGTTTTAACTAATTGAAGAACTACCATAAGAATCAGTGTTATTTTTATGATTTGTTCTCCTTTTGTGATATCTTTATACACAAATTTTCTCAATACACCTCAGTTTAATAGACAAAGATATTCTCAATAAAATGGCTCAGAAATTATAAATTGAGAGTCAAATTTCAAAGCAGAAAAAAATTAGTTCTCTTTATATAATGGCAAGTATTATAACAGTAAAGGCAAGAAAACGATCTTCAAAACTCTTCAAATGCCACTTTGCCTAATAAGCAGCAGTGGTCATGAGCGTGGATTGATATCAAATTCTCAAGTCACAATATACTTCACCTGCACCAAGTTGAGAAAGTTGACAGAACACGCACAACAACAGTATAATTGAGTTCTTGCAACTTCCACGCATTACTTCCAACCTTCACTCTGCAGCTTCGTGAAGCCCTGAGAGAGAAGGTGGAATACCATGAGCGCCTCAGCTCAGGGAGCCATCGGTTCTGGTGTTCCTTCAGCTTTTATATCTTACTAGTCACATAGCCACTTGGCACCTATCTTGTAGCTGTGTCTTTTTAATTACAGAATACTTATCAGTTAAAGGTTAATCATTAATTACAAATACTACTAAACAGCTGACAGCAAACAACAGGTAATTGGTTTGATAAGAAGCGACCCTGTCAAGACCCTCATTTATCTTTGATTCAGGATACGTTCCATGATTTAGCCAAAGGTCAAATTCTCGGGTACTACTGAGGCAGAGAGGAAAGACCACAGACCAACTGTTAAACATTTCTTTATATAGTCATTTTTTAAATATGGGGTACAAGGAGTGGCAAGTGGGTAGTGATAAGAAATAGTCTCTCCAATACAGGCTGTCCTCACATTATTTAGTTCCAGGACACACAAATTTCAGGTACCACAGTTAGTTAAATAACACCATTTAAATAACAGCACAGTTCCAATTTCTGTTACCACAGTACATAAACTGTAAGTGATTGCATAAAGTACAAACTTAGCTCTTAACTCTTCAGCCCGCAAAGCATTACATAAGTAACAGAAATCCATTATAATCCATGATCAAATCACATCACTTCTTTCAAAGTTTGTTGCTGTTTGGTCACTGCGCATCGGTTATTCACCTCCTACAGACAGCAAAGCCCATAGTTATGTTGCCTCCTTGTCTCGCACTGACAAACCCACAAGATATTTTATAAAAATGCATAATTGAAAGAGGAAATTGGCCAAAAAAGATGAAAGCGCAGCAAAGAAATGAAGTGAAAAATGCTGGAAGGAAAATTTGAATCAAACATAGATTTATTTATAGAAGAAATAGCTGACTATGGGAAGGTTGACATTGCCACAGTTCAAGAAACTCTGAGTATGCGACCAGAGGAACTTATTGAAGGTGAAGGTGTCAACATACATGGGCAAACTGGTTGTGGTGAACAAGGTGAAGATGTTCCAGAGGAAGCGGTGCTGAAAGAACACCTCCCGTTAAAGGAGCTGCCAGAGATACATCATGGCATTAAAAGTGCAAAGTGTAACATTTTGGAAACTGATCCAGGTTTACAAAGGAGCATGACAATTCACTAAGACAGAAAAGATGCTCGCCCCGTATAGGGAGTTATACAGTGAGAACGAGAACACGGGCACTGTTTAAACGACTCACTAAGTTTTTTACAAAGAAATAAAACACTTTAATTCTCAATGTTTTAAATTACAGTATACTAAGTAAATAGTTTTACTAATTTTTTCAGTTATCTATACATTTATAAATGACTAAGAAAAATTTTAATGTTTTGACAAAAGCTTTAAGGATCGTGGAACAATTGTAATTTTTACCACTGATTAATCATAATTTCCTCATTGATTATTAACATCAATTTCCACAGTTTGAACTCAGCTTGTCACAGTCATTTCATGATCCCACATACTACCTAAAGTGAGCATTGCCTGCAAAGTACACTCATACACACACACAACATCACATATATAAAATACTATCCTGTATCCTTTAACATATTTAACAACTGCACAATTTCATTTATATGAATTTATGATTTGGTGATTTGTTCTATGTTTTAAACTGAAAATCCCTTTACAAACATTATATGCAAAGAAGAAGAGCAGTTACCACTAAGTGTTTAATATGGATTAAACACTGTTTTAAGGCCTCTGTCTGTGTTATTTCCTTTGACCTCCATGTTGGCTGAGTGCTATATATTTGATTATTATGTGGTGGAGTGAAAATTTAAATCCAGAAAATCTGAATTCAGAACCCACATTCTTAACTACAAAGCTATAGCTTATTTTATGTTTTGTTTTTATTGAAAGTCCTTAAATATATTCAAACTGGAGGTTCTTTTTTTTTTCCTGCTTTTTCTCCCAAAGCCCCCCAGTCCATAGTTGTATATTTCAGTTGTGGGTCCTTCTAATTGTGTCATGTGGGATGCCGCCTCAGCATGGCCTGATGAGCCATGTCTGCACGCAGGATCCAAACCAGCGAAACACTGGGCCGCCAAATCAGAGCGCGCGAACTTAACCATTCGGCCATGGGGCTGGCCCCTGGAAGATCTTGAATATATTTAAATTGTTTTATTAAATGTAGAAATTTTCCTTGACTATTTTCTAAAATATAAACTTCAATATGTTGCATACAAATTTCACTTAATGCCATACTTATATATTTTCATGAAAATATTCAATGAACATTTTAATGTGGTTCTGTATATTTATCTAGATCATCTTATTGATCATATGATTATTTAAATCACAGACATGTACTTCTAAATTTTAAATAAGTTTAGAACTAGAAACTGCTTCAGACCAGTGTTTGTCAAATTTGATCCACGAATTGCCTGCAGTAGATCATGAGGGTTATTAAAAATGCAGATATCTCTACCTGCTATTTACTGAATGTTTGGGGCTCTGACTCAATAGTCAGCCTTTTTAACCCCGCCCCCTCTCCAATTGATTCTGCTGCACTCTGGTTAAAGAACCAGCTTCTTAGAGATTAATTAATCTCAGGTGTTAATTTTACTGATGAGGAATCTGAGGCTCCCTTGCACTTTTTTATTTGTTTTAAAATGTGTTTACAGTTATTCCTGGTATACTCAGTAAGGGTTGGTAAAACACTGCATTTGAAAACTGAAGTTTGGTAACTATTTTAACATCCAAATATAGGTTTAAATCATTTCCCAGTTTTTATGTCCTCATTTCCTTATGTTCTTCTATGTCTGATAGAACTACATTATTTGAGTTATAGGGTAGTTTCCAAATGAGTCTCCAATCCATTGTTATTTTCTCCAAAAACATTTTTTTGAAAAACTGGTATGAATTACACTGAAAAATCCAATATTAGAGAAGTTATGAATAAAATTGTTAACAAATTTAGTTTTAATGACAAATATTAATAAATTATTTGTATAAAAGTATAGTAATGGTCAAGATTTTAGGGAAATTCCTATCGTACCTCTTCTTGAAACTAGCATTAGTAACACTTGAGCAATGAAATACTGCATTCCCTCTAAAGGTTTGCCTGGCTTAGTGGAAAGAGAATGAATTTAGGGTCACAGAGACCTTAATTTGAATGTGCTTGTAACCAGTTATGACCTGTGCAACTTTAAGCAAATCATTTAACTTTGATTTGCAATTTCTTCATGTATAAATTGAAATATAAAAATTTGTATATATACTATATAAAATTTCATAAAACACCCGTGTGAAATGGATGTTACACAGATCAACTGTGATGAGATGTAACATGCCTTTTACGTAATAGGTGTTCAAGAAATGTTGATTCGTTCTTGCCCTCCCTGTTCTACTCGTGTTTCATGGGTTAGCCAGTCTCTCTGCTGCACTGCGCTTTAGTAAGGCTTCTCCGTTCTGAATCCAGTCATCCCCCACCCAGCCCCCGTGTTATCTCACCTTTTGTTCCCTCTGTAAGTTCATATGTGAAGTGGAACACAAGGGGATCAAAAGTACCATTTTGTGGTAAATTATGAATTGGGGAGAACCTTCTGTTAGCTTTGGTTTCTTCTATGTGTTGTAGTAATTACTGAATTTCCTTGTTTTAGCTTTTTTGCCCCCTATTTTGAGGATATCTTTATCTATTGGCTTCTGAAGACTGAGATTTTTTGATTAGTTGTATTTAAAATGAGCTAATCAGCACTATAAGGCCAGTTTGAGACTTATGTTTTGAATTTGTTTGTTTCTATAGGCTCCAAAACCAAGGAAGGCGTGGTTCACGGTGTGACAACAGGTAAGCTCCCTGGGGCTTCTAACCAAGGATGGTATTGAAAATATTTAGGAAGCCGTATAGCCCCAACACTGATCGCTCAGAGTGCAGTTGTAAACAACCACTGTGCCTATAGAGGAGCATTCTAAGGGAACATCAAGCTTTGTTTAACCTTAATTCTTTACTAAATATTTAAAAATAGGTAAATATTTATTATAAATAAATAAAACACAATATATTTAACTGTGGAGAACGATGACTCTGAATTGACCAGCTATATTTAATTTATAGTAGTATAGCATTTGAGTATTCTGACCAACTTAATGTTCTGGCAAACTGCTAGTATAAATAACATATAAGGATTGTCATTTTTCAAAGGATTAAGGCACAATTTTCTGTAGAGTACACTGAAATATTCTGACACTAAACTACTAATTATAACATTTCCTTGATGATTCAGAAGACATTTTAGGAAACATCTTGGGATGACCAGTAAATTATTTATTGTGTTTATCTCTGTTTGGCCTAATTTCACCAAGAATTTGAATAGGTTTATAAGAAGATTACAATAAGGAAATGACAAAAAGGATGAAAATTGTGGTGGTTATGATGATGAGGAGGAAGATGATAGTGATAGAAATAGAAAACTGAAAAGAGAAGCAAAATTTAACAACCTTAAGAGCCTACGGATTTGCTGTAATTGAGTTTCATGCTGTGTGTACTTCAAACTTCCTGACAGGTGTGGTAAGACAAGATATATAACCAGAAATATAATTCATATGATCAGAAAGCAGTAAACACAATAGTGCCTCAGAGAAATAACATGTTCCTATTACTGCATTATAAACTAGAAATAGGGAAAATCAAAAGGGAGTATTAATAATACAGTATTGTGGTTAAGACTATAAACACTGGAGCCAGAACTCCTTGGTTCAAATTTCTGCTTACCCCTTACCGGCTGTGTAATTTTCTGCAAAATTCATAGCTTCCATGTGACTTGGTTTCCTCATCCATAAAAGAATTAAGTGAATTAATGTACACAAAGCACCTAGAATACTGAAGGCAAATAGTATGTATTATACAGGTGTTACTTATTATCCCTTTAGAATAGATCGATCTTGAGCAACATTTTTATAGCTAGTGGAGAAAAGTAAATCATACAACTATTTTACACATGTTTTTGATAAAAATGAGAGTGTGAAATTAAAACACAATCCTTTGAAACTGATTCTGCTAGAAGCTAAGTTAAAGCATGCAGCTTATATTTGCTCTGTTGTTATCAACTATGTAATGCTGATAACGAGGCAAGTAAATATGTTGCCTTCTGGGACCTTCTATAAATATGATGTTATTAAGCATGATTTTAATAAGAACTGAATGACAGACGGTTGGAGACTGTATTATCTGAAGGGCCTTCCCCGATTAGTGCTGTTCCTTCCATTTAGTAGTTGAAGACATGTGGTTTAGAAAGCAGATAAGCATGTGGCAAGATTCAGAGACGGTGGTAAAAATTAAATACAACTAATACTGTCATCTGATGGAGGGGATATGTTGAAAAAGTCAGAATTTTTGCATCTTCTCCAGAATAATAGAATCATCAGTTGTGTGTGTGTGTATGTGTGTGACTGAAATTTGTATGATAAGGCAATATTTTACAAAACACTTCCTGAAAAACCATAGCCCACCAGCTTATGTTTCCATGATTTGATAGTGTTGAGAAACTGCGTATCATGTCTTTTGTTTAGCATATTAAAGAATCTGAGATGTCCTACTTAAAGAAATTTGCATAATTCAGTTTAATCTAGAGTTTCTCAAATTTCTTTGACCTTATTTCAGTAGTTACTAGGATTGAACTAAACTAGCATTCCACAGAAGACTGTGCAAATGCTGCTAGGCGGAAAGGCCATGACGATTTCGGTGTGGGCAATATTTGCAGCCGTCGCAACAATCAACCACTCTGGCGGTAGCAAAATATCAAAAATGTTGTCAGAAATAGTCTGGCTATGAGAATTCCCTTGGGATAAATCAGCTACAGTAAGTAGCTTCTCTCTCCCATATCACATAAATGAATTACTTAATTTGTTTAATAGGGTTATTCACTATAAATTTCCAATAAGCTTAAGGTAATTACCCCAATGGCTTAGGAAAGGGAGAATTGGTCACTTATACTTAGTCTAAAATGTTTATTATGGTCACATAATAAGTGCTAAATAAATGTTATTTATTATTGTTATTAGTCAAAGCAGGAAAGCAAGAAACTGTTGTGTAGTACATAACACTGTCAGCTAATGTTAAAAGAAAAACTTCCCCAAGATCTATCCTTTTAGCTATTTTTGCGGAAACACAGACTTCAGTAAATCTACATTCATTGTTATAAACATAAATTTATTACATGATAATGAACACAACTAATTTTCAACATGTTATAATTTAAATTTCCTTATTAAATTGTTTTATAACATAAATTTATTTTCCTCAAGTTTATAATTTGTACACCAATTCAAAACTAGATCTTCTTAATTTTATAATTTTGTTTAATGTCAAAGGCTAGATTTACTGTATCTATTCTAAAAGTTGATGCTACATTTTCTTTCTGGAATTTTATTTTTAACTTAATGAAAGTCAAATATAAATCTTATTATTGAAATTAATGTATAAATTCAATTACAGATATATGCAAAATTCCTTTTGATGTATTTAAAATTATTTATTGAGCATCTACTGTGAAATACTAAAAAGAAAAATAAAACAGGATCTCTGATTTTAATGAACTCAAAATACACTGGTGGAAGTTGACAAACAGACTAGTGGAAAATGAATAATTATGGCACAATGTAAAAAGTTCAATAGTAGAGATTTATCTGAAATTTTATGGGGTCACAGAAAGAGGAGAGGTTTTTAACATGGAATTTCACATTGAGTGAGTTTCAACACACCAGCTTGAATTTGCTGAGTAAACAGATAGAGGGATAGCTGAGACGGATGAAGACTTCTGGCCAGATGGAGCTGTTTGAACCAAAATGAGGAAGACTGGCACATTTGGGGGAAAACATAAGTGAGTTAAAATATTATACCATCAGTTGGTTGCGTGGAAAGTATCTTTTTGATCCTTCTTATGAAGTTTTTTCCCTTAAAAATAAACACCATTTATGAGATGCAAAATGTATTAATTTGGGTGTGTCTCCTTTCCTTTGGTTTTGTCCCCCTTTTGTTTGGAATGTCAATGAACAGAGAAACAGTGTAAAAGGTCTTAACAGGGGAAAATAGGGGTTCAAGGTCAGTGGCTAATCTACTAGATAAATCCAATCCTACAGAAATCTTTTAAAATGTGTCTGTTATTTCTACATGAACACTCTTTTTGTAAGATAACTAATTGACTTATTTTTACAATGATGAAACCTAATGAAATGTACAAAGTACATTTTACTGTGCAGTTTATGTGCATTAAAAATAAAGTTCATACATATATAAAGAATTATCTAGATGTAAAAATAAATTTTCATGGCTGGCAGAAAAATTATGAGTTTGTAAAAACATCAAAGTTTATTTTTGTCTTTGAGATTTTATAACAAGAAAATGTTCATTTTCAAGCAAAATATTCTATTCGTGTTCTTAGAAAAGAAAAAAATGAGAACTTAAACCCCATAATTCACCATTTTTAAAGGATCAACATTCTGGAAATGTTTAAAAACATGAATTTCCAGTATAGCTTTTCACTGGCATTTAAATGGAGCTTTCATTGTGAATAGCCGTTACTCTTTAGGAGGCATCAGCCCTATCCCCAGAAGTGGCCGAAGGCAAATATCCAGCAACACGTGCTGTGCCCGCTCTCTGGGTTTAGACTCTAGGGCCTCTTCAGCTTCCGCTCATTGCCTGGGACAGTGGGGTAAGCCTCTCTCCTTACAGACTGCCTTAGCTTCCAGGACCTACACAGTCTGTTCAAAGCCCAATTGCTTTGTCCACACTGTTTAACCACTGGCCTCTCCCAACTGGTGACATGAACTGTATAATAGTCATATGACCAGAACAATAACCCTCAGCAGCTGATATCGTGTAAATCCTCCGGTTCCTCAGGCTTGGACTTCTCTAGAGAAGATGCATACAAGCATAAAGCATGACAAGAAAATGTGTCTCTGTTTGCTCAGGAGAGAGCCTGAGGAAGAATATCACTCCAAACTAAAAATTCCTGAAAGTTAGGGAGAAAGCAGACAAAACGTGAGTTTGGAGGGCAAAAAGAAACTAAGGCAAATACCACCTAGATATAGATAAGAGATGTAAGACCCAGGCTTTATGAGCTTAAATGTTGTAAGGTTTAGCATGAAGAGGTGTTGTTTTAGTTCTCTATTGACCTTGAAATTATTTAAAGAGAAGAATCTCTTGTCTTCTGCTGCTTTTTCATAGAACTCTTCATTTAATTGAAACAAATGTTTTTATTGGAGCTTACTGTATGTGGTAATTATGTTGAGGTAATATAAAAAGATTCATTCAGCAATTATATCCGGTTTTAGTCCTGGAGAATATTTGATATGAGATTAAATCTTTGTCTAAATCTAATCCCAAACTATTTGCACCATCTTCTCTAAATTTTTAGCTTATTTAAAAAAATCTTCTGAATCATCATGTCGTATTGTGTTTTATGAAAAAAATTGTGCACATGCTCAACAAGCCTCTTAATTTTCATACTTTACTTAATGTCTAACTCTTTTGTTCCCATTAAAATCATTGAAAATCAATCTTATTATTAAAACTCCTTCTGTTTCAACTACCTGAACTTTTATAGGAAGAACAAAGTTCCTTTGTAACCATCCCTCACTCCGTTGTTCATTTCTGATAGTAACATGCATGAGCATGTACGTGTTGTGTGCCTCAGAAGGTGTGGTGAAAATGAACAACCTGAGTGAGATCCAAGAATTGGCATTGAAATTGAAATAAAGAAAGAAATTTTGTGCTGAGTCTGATGCAGCTATAACTGCACCTGTAAGCCTTGCTTTCTGTAAACTTTCCTTGATAAAATGCAAGCCAAACCCAAATCACTCATAGCTCTAAATTTGTGATCGTTAAACTTGGAACACCTTTTAATATCTGTATGATTACAACAAAATATCTTAGCAAAGATTCAATGTTTGGCTAAACCATGCTCCCTTAGAAATCTCTGTAGCTTTTCTGTCTTCTAACTCTTTAGTTGCCTACGGTACGTGCTAACATAGATCTTTAGAAGTGAAATTACTTTTAAGTCGCTGTCGTTCCACCATCCCTTAACCTGTTGTTCCTGATTTATCCCAGTGGCTGAGAAGACCAAAGAGCAAGTGACGAACGTTGGAGAGGCGGTAGTGACAGGGGTGACAGCAGTAGCGCAGAAGACAGTGGAGGGAGCAGAGAGCATTGCAGCTGCCACTGGCTTTGGCAAAAAGGACCATTTGGGCAAGGTATGATTGCATACATTTTATGTTACATTTGTAGGCGTGGGAGACTACAGTGCATTTTCATGCAAGGCTCTAGGCAGGAATAAGATGCGTACTGGGGGAGGGCTGACTGACCCTCCCCTCGTAAAAATGTGCTACTTTTATGTGTGTATTCTTTTTGAGGGTATTAACCCAGATAAATGCCATGATAACTGTACAGTGGTCATGATTGTTTCATTTTCTGGAAGACAGTTAATGAAATAAACAATGTAATAAATGCCAAAGAAACAGTGACATTTCAGAAAGAATGGGGGCTTTCATGTTAGCTAAGAATCTTGGAATTTCTTTTTGTTGGAATATAACAAATGCTTTGTGCCCAATCTCTAAATTTTCAAAGTGAAGGTCTTTTACTTGATTTCTTCATAATGACATCATCTCTTATTAAATGGCATATTTGCTTGTCATATAACAGTTCTTTGCCAAATATATGTTTGTGGGAACTGAGAGACTTAAACTGCTTACCAACCAGAGATCGTGGTTTGGGGTGATTTTAAAATTCTCGGAAGAATTTTGACTGCATTTTTTTACAAAGATGAGATTCTAGTAAGATTATACAAAAGATATGAATTTCATTTTAAACAGTTAAGTAATAAAAAATGAAGTGTTGACTGGAAGATGAAATTTTACAAATTTCATGACCACAGCAGCAGAATGATTTTTGCTCCTTCCTTGCCACAGTGGCCTCCTTGCTATTCCTTGAACAAACCAAGCATACCCTTGCCCTGCCTCTTCTCTCTGTCTGGCACACTCCCTCATCTCTGGTCTTTGTTAAATGATACCTTCTCAGTGGGGTCCTACTTAATACTGGATCTTATTTAATACTGGAACCATTCTCTTTACCTTTGGTATTTCTAATCTCCCTACTGTTTATTTTTTGTCCAAAGCATTCATCACCTTTAACAATAATAAATAATTTACATATTTTTTATACATGTTTATTTTCTTCCTCCCCTTCTAAAAGATAAGCACCATGAGGGTGGAATATATTTATTTTGTTCACTGATATTTCACAAGTGTCCAGAAGAGTGCCTGACACAGTAGACATTTAAGGAATATTTATTAAATTAAAGAAGAAAGTAAGGAAGGAAGTACATGAATAAGCAGGGTAACTTTTATTTCTGTGTCTTTAGTAATTATATGTGTAGTATAGCAACTGTGGCTATTCGACCATCCAAAGTTATAATCCAAGTGGTTTTGGAATAGATATCCTGAAAACTGTAAGAAAGTAACTTTATTTGCTGGCGTCTGCTCTGGGTTGTATCTGCTCCATGTAATCCTAAGTAGTAGACCGACTTTGATGGATCATTAACATATTGATAATAAAAATATGTGACATATTGAGATTTTATCACATGTAGTTACATCGTCTGGGGCAATTGATGCCAATTATGGAAAACCTGGACTGGGCTCTAGTATTCTTCAGCTGACTCTTGAGTGTATGGTTAATGATAGCAGTATTCCTTTGTGCAGAATATGCTTTTCAAATAATCTTACTACTCATGCTGCTAATTATACTAAGTCCTTTTTTCCATCAGAAATTATAATTACACTTATAGCTTTATTACATTTTGAAAGTTAAGAGGGACCTCATATATTAGTACAGAGGCAATTAACCTGTTTTGTGTCCCTGACCCTTGTGCCAATCTTCCCAGAAAAATGTGCACTCACATACGCACACCAACGGGCTTAGTGGGATCTTGGAAGCTCATCAACAGACAGAGCCATGGTTTAGATCAATCTCCTGATTGTACAGATGAGGAAAGTGAAATCTACGGAGGGGAAGTAAAGAGTCCAGGGTCACACAGCTAGATATAATAGACTGGATGTCAGTGGAGCTTTTCCATCACTATGTCACTTCCCCAGCCACTTCCTCAAAACCTGCCTTTCTTTTGGGTTTTTATAAACTGAGTTGTAGGCAACCAGACTTAACTAGAACAAGTTTTTGCTTGAGAATATTAAGAAATGGGAAATGTATCATTCCTTTCTCACCCTCATTTAAGGCACACCATGAAAATTACAAATAAGGCATGGAAGTTTTTACAAGTTCATTTCTTACAAAATTAGGCTTGTTTTTTACCCTTCTAAAAATATTCCTATTTATTTTAATATTTTAAAGCATAAATCTAAATGATGTGAGAAAATTAACCATTTGGAGATTTCTCTTCTGGGTACTTATAGGTTCTTCCAAATTTCTAATATGAAAATGAAGCCATAAAACCTAGAAATTGCAACATAGTTATAGGAAAAAATACATTGAACTGGGAGTTTAAATGGCTGATTTTCATTCCTGCTCTGTCACCAAAAGGCTAGATGACCTTTTGAAGATCTCCTAAGACTCTTTCTCATATAATGAGGGAACTGTACTAGAAAATAGTTAAAGCCCAATTTAGCAGTCCAGTTCTGAGTTTCTATAACTCAAGGAAGACACTAATAAACTTTCATTGTGGTTACATCTATGGGATGCCAAAAATTCTAGGGAGTTTAAAGAAAATCATTGAATTTGTTCATCATAGAATTTGAAATAATTTCATTTATCTTTCAAACTGATCAAAGAGATTCTAGTGAATGGAAATTTATCGTTGCTTTAACTGTTTGTTAATGACCCCATTGAGAGACTCATTCTTCATTCAAGAAATAATACTTACTCACTATGTGCCAGAAACTTTGCTAGATATTGAGGCTAAAATGATGAGAAAAACCATGGACTGCTTTTCTCTTCATTGAGCTTGTAGTCTAGTGACAAAGATCAGTGAGATGATCCTGTAATCACCACACAATAAGTATGTAATTATAACCGTGATAAAGTCTGCGGAGTACATAATGCCAATCATGTCTAAAAAGGGACTTGACCCAGCTAGCGTGAAGCTGGGGTAAGGGAAAGCATCACAAAGGCTTCCCTGAGGAAGTGATGTTTGAGTTGAAATCTAAAAGAATGACTGGCAATTAATAAATAGTGAGAGTCGGAGGAAAAGCATTCCAGGCAAAAGCAACAACATGAGGAAATCTCATGTGGGAGGAGGGAACCGTGGCAAACCAAAGACGACTGCAGCTGGAGCGGAGAAAATGAGGAGGAAAAGGCTGGAGGGAAATGCAGGAGCAGCTTCGTGGTTGGCCATCTTAAAAATGTTGGTCTCTAGTCTAAGAATAAAGGAACCTATTAAAGCATTTTAAGCAAAGATGTCAGGTTATAGGTTTACATGTTGAAAAGCTGTCTCTGCCTGCAGGGTGGGAAGCAGATTAAAGGGAGGGAAGAGTAGAAACCAGGGACCAGTTAGTGGGCTGAGATGGAAAGAGGAGATGATTGTGTATACCAAGGTGTTGGTGGGGGAAGGAGAAAGAAATGGATTAATTCAAAGACCTTGTAGGAGGTGATATGAACAAGATTTGGTGATGCATTTCATGAGGCTTGGGGGATGAGGGATGTGATAAGCAGAGCTATGAGGTGTTAGCTTGTTGAAGTGGATTAATGGCTGTGGCATAATCTTGGTGGTTGGTGCCTCCTTGAATATCAGGAATACCACAAGAGGAGAGGCTGTGTTGATGTTTAGCTCTCACACCCATTGAGGGTGTTTGGTCTATCAACGCCTGGTTGATGAGGGGACAAGTCTTTCCTTCCTTCCTTCCTTCTTTCTTTTCTTTCTTTCCCCCATTTTGTGTTTTCTTGGTTTGCTTTTTTTAAATGACCACAGATACCTAAGTGTTTTTGTGAATTTGATCATATGAATGAAGCCACCTTTAGTAATACTTTCTAATCATAAGACATTAGATTAAAGGACAAATAGGATGTCTTGAACTTTAAGAATTCGTTTTATCAACTATTATTAGCTTCTGTATTTAACACATCAGAATAATATATCTACCAATGTATATTTTTACCTTTGTAAACACAAGAGGTTGTCAGCCATACAATTCATTTCCCAAAGCTCATTCATTTGATTGGCACAGTAGAAACAAGCTCCAAATGCATTGGCAGAGGTATTCAAGTTTGACGTTTAAACAAACAGTGATGTTAAATAGATAAAATTTATGTTTCCCACTTCTGTTGAGAATAAATGAGCTGCTTGTTCCAAGAATATTATAAAAGAATTACCTTGAGAAAGCATTGTTCTTTAGTGCATCTATTTTTACAACATACAGCAAATCACTAGAACATTTGCTCCGTCCCAACCCCTCCACAGAGCTTTGCATGTGGTTACTGCTCAAATAAATCCTTGCTGAAGAAGCGAGCATCTCTTTAATGCTATCTGGAATGCCCTAGAAGAGTGGGATCCTCAGTGTCCCTGAGCTCTCAATTTTCATAATTTTCTGGATTTATAGAGAGTTAAAGTTCTGAATAAACTATAAAGCTACTGCCTGACAAATAGTACAGCAGTTAGCTTCATTACCACATCCCATTTAGGCACCGACCTATCTACATGGAGATTGTTAGGTTTGGGGCAGGAAATAAGCTTGAAATATTTATAGCCTCATATACTTAAATTTTCGGGTTCATCTGTTTATTTACTTTTTTTAGAATCAGAATGAAGTTCTTAAACAGTGCCATTTTGGAAAAATTAGATCAGATTATAAACAATTTTTACTATCCCCAGCACAGTTATCCAGAAAATGTTGATTTCAAGTGGAGAGAAGTGTGTGTACTCTGTAATCCTGCCTTAATTCCTAAGAGGAGAACAAACCAAGTGTAGGCTAGATGGATAAAACAAAGTAGGAATAGAAAATGTCAGCTTTGACATTATGATCTTTAACATTTAAGCATCCTTCTGCTTATTTCCTTCGACTTACCAGAGCTATCATATTTAGCTTGATGCAGATTTATTTTTAAACACTTGAGTGTTATGGACTTTCCCATTAAATGATTAATCAGTTGATGGATGTTGCCATCAACTAACATACTTAATGCTGATTTCACAAATAAGCCACAGGTCACAGGCAACCTTTCAGATTTCTCTGAAGAAGCATACATC